CACAAAATGTAAGTAATCACGCAGGCCCCCACGCGGCCGTCCAAGTGGTTCCACAACTGCTTCCAAGAGGTCACGAAGAGCCTTGCACGACTCCTGACCGAACAAAGAAGTTGCGGTCCAGAGACACAACGCAGGCACAGGGCAGAAAACCATGTACTAGCATGACACAACATAAACCTTTTAATTTTTAGGAACATTCTAATATTTTAGTAAACTTCTTAAGATAATGTAGATTTGGCGGGAAAATAAGAGGGCAGGTTTTTCTTTTTAAAAAATAAGAGGATTTCCTTACTTTTAAGAGGTTCGGTGGGCTGGGAATCCATCATCTTTGCCGCCGGCAGCTCTGGGTTGGACGTTGCAGACATGCACGAAAGTTCCGGTTCCGGTTCCGGTTCCGGTTCCGGTTGGGGATCATCCCAATCCATCATCTTTGCCGCCGGCAGCGCTGGGTTGGACGTTGCAGACATGCAGGAAAGTGCTGGTTCCGGTTCCGGTTCCGGTTCTGGTTCCAGTTCCGGTTGGGGATCATCCCAATCCATCATATTTGCCGCCGGCAGCTCTGAGTTGGACGTGGCAGACATGCAGGAAAGTGCTGGTTCCGGTTCTGGTTCCGGTTCCGGTTCCGGTTCCGGTTCCGGTTCCGGTCGGGGATCATCCCAATCCATCATGTTTGCCGCCGGCAGCTCTGGGTTGGACGTTGCAGACATGCGGGAAGGTGCTGGTTCCGGTTCCGGTTCCGGTTGGGGATCATCCCGATCCATCATCTTTGCTGCCAGCAGCTCTGAGTTGGACGTTGCAGACATGCAGGAAAGTGCTGGTTCCGGTTCCGGCTCCGGTTGCGGACGGGGATCATCTCAATCCATCGTCCCTGCCGCTCGCAGCTCTGGTTAGGAATTTGCGGAAATGCAGGACAGTGCCTGTTGTGGTTCCGGTGCCGGTGCCGGTCCCGGTTCCGGATGGGGATCATCCCTCATCCCCATCTCTCTCAGGTGCCGGTTCCAGTTCTGGTTCCGGTTCCTTTTCCGGTTCCGGTTCCGGATCATCCTAATAATCCGTCATCCGTACCGTTGGCAGCTTTGGGTTGGAATTTGCAGAAATGCCGGTTCCGGTTCCGGTTCCGGTTCCGGATAGGGATCATCCTTCATCCCCATCCCTCTCAGGTGCCGGTTCCGGTTGCTGGTTCCGGTGCCGGTTCCGGTTCCGGTTCCGGTTCCATATGGGGATCATCTCCATCCATCATCCCTACCGCCGGCAGTCCGCCGGTTCTGGTTCCGGTTCCGGTTCTGGTTCCGGATAAGGATCATCCCTCATCATCATCTCTCTCAGGTGCCGGTTCCAGTTCCGGTTCCGGTTCCGGTTCTGGTTCCGGATGGGGATCATCCCAATCCGTCATCGATACCGCTGGCAGCTTTGGGTCGGAATTTGCAGAGATGCCGGTTCCGGTTCCAGTTCCGGTTCCGGATGGGGACTCCCTCATCCCCCATCCCTCTCAGGTGCCGGTTCCGGTTGCTGGTTCCGGTGCCGTCGTCAGCAATCGTCGCCAGAGTCGGAGTTGTTGGAGTAGTCGTTGGGGTCGTCGTCGTTGTCGTCGGAGTCGGAGTTGCCGTCGTCGTCGTTGTCGTTGTCGTTGTCGTCGTCGCCGTCGCCGTCGCCGTCGCCGTCGCCGTCGTCGTAGTCGGAGTAATTGTAATAGTCGTCGGAGTCGGAGTCGCCATTGTCGTCGTCGTTTGTATCGTCGGGTTCGTCGCAGCCGCCGCCGTTGCCGTCGGCGTCGAATTCGCCGGCGCCCTCTTCGTCGTCGGAGCCGTAGGAGTCGGAGTCGTCGCCAGAGTCGTTTTCGCCGTTGGCGTCGGAGTGGTCTTCGTCAGAGCCGTCGTCGTCGTCATACGTAGTCTGAGTCGTCGGAGTCGTCGTCGGCGTTATCGTCAGTGTCGCCGTCGTCGTCGTCACCGTTGCCGTCGACGTCGGACTTGGAGTCGTCGGAGTGGTAGTCGTCGCCGCCGTGACCATCGGAGTCGTGATCGTCGACGTCGTCGTCGTCGTCGTCGTCGTCGTCGTCGTCGTCGTCGTTGTCTGGGTCATCGGAGTCGTCGGAGTCGTCGGAGTCGTCGTCGTTGTTATCGGCGTCGGAGTTGTCGTCGTCGTCGTCTTCGTCGTCGTCGGAGTCGGAGTCGGAGTCGGAGTCGTGGCTGTCATCGTCGTTGGATTTGTGTTGTCGCCGGAGTTGTCGTCGTCATTGGAGTCGTCGGAGTCGTCGTTGTCACGACGACGACGCCGCCGAAGACAACTGGCATCACAGATCCAAACGGTGGTCGGGTCGAGCCTCAAACAGCCGGCACAAGAGGTCCCAGCAGCGGCAGGTTCCGCACAGCGTCACTCAGAGGTTTTTGGCACACCTCTCACGCGTTTCGTGGCCCCATCCGGGCTCGACTGGCACAACTGGCACAACAGGTCCCAGCAGTGGCAGGATCCGCAGAGCGTCCCCCCGTGGATTTCGGCACACCCACTGGCGCAACCGGAACATCAGGTGCAACTGGCGCAACTGGCGCAACAGGCTCAAGTGGCGCAACTGGAGCAATTTGTGCATCTGGCGCACCTGGCGCAACTGGCGCAACTGGGACAACCAACTGGCGCAACAGGCGCAACTTTGCGCAACTGGCAAAGATCCTCGTGAGGGGTGTGCCGAATTGGTAGGGTGACCGCACGCGGGCCCTGGTGGAGCTCCCTATGTGGCCATGCTCCGAGTGAGGGCCGAGCCGAAAGGGTAGGGTGACCTCTTCCCGGCCCTCCTACTTAAGCCTTCGTTGGGGCTCCTTATGTGGCCGTGACCCTCGTGAGGGGTGTGCCGAAAGGGCGGGGTGACCGCATACAGGCACTCTTACTTACTCACGTAGTAAGCCTTTGGTGGAGCTCCTCATGGGGCCTAGATCCTCGTGAGGGGTGTGCCGAAAGGGTGGGGTGACCGCATATGGGCCCTCCTACTTGAGCGTTCGGTGGAGCTCCCTATGGGGCCACAGGGAGTTCCCCCTATTGCCCCCGTGGGGGTGCCCACATGGCGTCCCGCGCCCATGTCCGCACACCTCTCACGCGTCTGCTGCCCTCCAGGGCGCCCTCGTCGCCTCGGCTGGATTCGCCTCGAAAGCCTGGTCAGAACGCGCTCCAGGAGAGGCCCCGGGGTCCCAAGATCGTTTTGTTTCCAACCATCCTCGTTTTGAACCAGCAGCGCCCCCGCGTTCCTTTTCTTATCCAGCTGCCTGCGGCAAGTCCCGCCACCATGCCATTCCAGTTCAGTATGCTCGGCGGCCCTCGTTTTAGGGGGCACCGGAGGCCGTACTCGCGAGGGATGAACAACATGATAACGGTGATGATGACGATGAGGATGGTGGTGGTGATGATGATCATGATGATGTTGGTGGTGATGATGATGAGGGGGATGATGGTGGCGATGCTGCTGCTGATGATGATGACGATAATGGTGAAGATGATGATGATGCTGATGATGATAATGATGATGATGGTGCTGATGACGATGACGATGACGATGACGATGCTGCTGCTGATGATGATGAGGATGAGGAGGAGGAGGATGAGGATGAGGACGATGATGCGGATGAGAATGAGGATGAGGATGAGGATGATGAGGATGATGATGATGATTATGATGAAAATGGTGATGATGATGATGATGATGATGATGATGACGATGACGATGACGATGATGATAATGATGATGGTGATGACGATGATGATGATGACGATGACGATGACGATGATGATGATGATGATGATGATGATGATGATGCTGATGATGATGATGATGATGATGATGATGATGATTATGATGATGATGATGCTGATGATGCTGATGATGATGATGATGATGATGATGATCGCGGGGATATCGTGGGAGGCCTCTTGGGGGCTTGTTGGGAACATTTTTCAAGACCTTGGGGGCTTTTTGAAGGCCTCTTTTGGCCTCTTGGGGGCCTCTTCGGGCGAAAGGCTCGAATTTTCGGTTCGTCTTCCCCCTCTTGGGCCCTTTTTGGGGCCGTATTGGGGCTCTCTTGGGCTGTCTTGGGCGCCTCTTGGGCCGTTTTGAGACCCTCTTGGGCTGTCGTGGGATTTTCTTGAAGGCCATTTGCTTAGGGTGATCTTGGGGGCCCCTGGGGCCTCTTTGGAATGTCGGAAGCCCGAAACAGGCGATAACGTGAACAACGGTAAACAACACAATGGAAATCAATGATTTTTGCCTCTTTGGGCCCTCTTGGGGGTCCTCTTGGAGCGCTCTTGGGGTTGGGGCTTCTTTGGGGCCTCTTGGGTCGTCTGGGAGGCATCTTCGGTCATCTTGGCAGCTTTGGTGGCCTTTCAGGTCCGTCTTGGAAGGTATGTTGGACATTGTGGACGCCTTGGAGACCGCCAGGGACGTGTCTGGCGGCCGACTGATCTTCGAAACGAGGGGTCGAGTCATGCAGGTGGACGCGGCCGGCGGGGGGGGGGCCCTGAGAAGATGACACAAACCTTGCCAGACAGCATTTGGCATTCTAACACGCCTCAACGTGCCAGGGGCACGGTAGCGGATTTTCCTCCTTCCTCCTCCCCCCTCATCCCTCTTCGTCGTCATCGTCATCATCACCCTCATCCTTGCCATTGTCTTCGTAAACGCAGTTAACATAGCGGAGATCCTCACAAGTGAGAATCCACCTGTGTAGAGAAATTCAAGATAGTGGAGACCCTCGTGGCGTTCACTTGCGTAGACATAGTTTAAACTAGTGGAGATCCTCACAAGTGAGGGTCAAACGCTGGATTCCGTCAGCTGAAGCCGACATCTCAGATTAGACGATGTACGTTCGTATCAGACGATGCCACTGTCACTTCAGCCAATAAGTGCTTGAGCCACAGTGGGCTACAACTAGCACGACAACGTGACGCAATGGGCAAAACTGGCGCCACTTGCGAGGCCGGCGACACCTGTTTTTCTTCACCCCACTCGCCCCGATCAGGACTTCTCTCCGTCATCCTCGTCACCGCGATTGCCATCGAAGCGGTAACAGCTACAGCCATTGATTTGCTTACTGTGCCCTGCCCCGCTAGATATTCGGCACCAGGGCCCGCCAGAGGCTTAGCAATCGGAGAGTTTGTTACAGTCCGCCCGGCTCACTCACCTACGGCCGCCGCCGCCATGGCAAAGCGGGAGCCGCCGTCTGAGGATGAGATGCTCCGCGCCTTCAGGGCGTGCCCCGTGCTTGATCGCGAGACGGCTGTCCAGCATTGTCCGGAGGTGGTTGAGGTGTCCGAGATGCTGGCCAAGTGTCTGGCAGTCCACTGGGAGGGTGCTGCTCGCGCTACTCGCGTGCGTTGGTGCTTTGATTCCCGAGGACCGCTTCGAGACGGCCCCTTCAATCGAGGTGCAGTCGTCCCTATGGAGCATCCTGATTCACCCTGGCGCCACGAACAGTTCGGGCGTCATCAGCGTCGTGACGAAGGCGATGACGAAGCTCGTCAATCGCCTGCGCAAGTACGAGACTGACAGCTACGACGCCCATTACAGCGCTCTGTCGGCGGAGGAGCGCGGTGAATATGATCCACCTCCGCGTCGCAGGTGTTGGCTGGCGGTGCCTCTCTGCCCGCGAACGGCATGATAATGAGCTGCCATCAAAATCGCGGCGCCGCGCTCGCCGCGGAGTGCGAGGTCGAAGGCGCGTTCTCCTGGTTCCAGAACGAGATGGGCGTAGACAAAGCTGTTCCCGGGAAGCTCTGGGACGGCAACGCTTGGCATCGTCCAGTCATGGACAAAGCCCGCGCCTTCTCGGTTGACGCACCCTGGTTCGGGTTCATTGCCGGGGCCCACATTCCGGAAACCTTCAAAGCGACGATTAACGATGCTTTCGGGCTTCGGGAGCGCCTGACCGCGAGCTTCGCGGAGCCCCAGTGGCTGACCATCAGGCAGATCCGCGAGGCATGTGCGCAGCTCCCCGTGCGGTCGCGCAAGCCCGCCGACTTCGTGGCCGGCGTGTTGCTGCCGCTCTTCAAGTGGTCGGCGTCGCGCAAGGGGAAGTTTGTTAAGGCTTCGACCGAGGACGGGGCCAGCGAGCTCGTGGACAATAAATTCGACGGCCATATGGATTTGCAGCGGCAATGTTTCCTCCAGCCTGGGAGGCATCAGGGGTCCAAGTACCGCGGTAAGCTCCGGACCAAATTCGACCGCATGGCCTTGTCCATGCACGCCCTGCGCGTGGTCTGCCAGAGGTTCCGCGAGTCGACCGCGCCAGCGCAGTACCGCCTTGACGACAACTGGGCGCGTAATTTCTCGGTGCCCCCAGTGGTTTCCAAGAAAGCCGTCGCCATGGCTTACTTGCTGGCGGAGAAGTGCGAGCACACCTGGAAGATCTTGGACTTCGCGCGGAACGGCCGCGGCATTCCGCAGGAGGTAGGCTCCCGCGCGTCCCAGGCGACGCAGCCTGGAGAGGCGCCCGGCCGCCCCCCTGCACCACCTGCCCCTGCCCCTGTGGACACGTGGGCGGCCGCCGATGCCGACGCGATCATGCTGACCGAAACCGTCGCGGGCAAGATGACGGGCAAGTGGTCGTGGACCAAGGAAGAGTTGAACAAGGTCATGTCCATGGGCACCGAGGTGTTCAAAGCCACTCTGGACAAGTTCCCCCTCTACGGCTGCTCTCTCCCCGCGCTGGTGGACATCATGCACGTGATCTTGGCGGAGCCCGGGCAGTATTTCTATTGCGGGAAGTCCGCCACTGTGGCGCGGCGCGTGAAGGCCGTGACCAAGGGTGCCTTTTTCTACGAGCACACGATTCTTCTCCTCTTCATTGCGGCGAAGGTGCTCCAGGCGCTGGGCTTTGGGGCGACCGTGGCGACGGTCGCCATCCCGGGGCAGACCTCTGGGCAGCATGCTTCTTCGTCAAGCGGAAGACGACCCGGCCAGACCTGGTCGCCGTGCTCGCGGAGCTGGGGATCTCCGAAGAGACGACGCCGACTCTGGCCGCATACGTCGCCTCTATTGACGCTGAGGAGCACCCCCCGCCGCGCGCCCCGGTCGTTGACTGGGGCCAGCGCTCGCCGGCCTCCGAGGTCGACGCGGGGTACCTGGCGGGCAAGTTGGGCCTCGTCTCCGCGCGCGAGGAGGCCCCGGTCGACGGCGCCGCGGCCCCGGCGGTGGAGCACGCTGCGCTGGCGCCAGCAGCTGCGGGCGGGCTGGACCTTGAGGGCATTGCCGAAGGCGCCGAAGACGACGCGCGCGCGGCCTCAACCGAAGCCGAGGACGAGGACGAGGAGGCCGGCGATGCCGACGTGAATGCTGGAGACGAGGCGGCGCGCAGGCACCCGTCGGGCTTTGGTAG